AATTATAATGAGGATGAAATAAATAGCTAAATTAAAGAGACTAGATAATCTGTGAGCTTTGTTTACTTAGGTTATTCTTAGTCACAACCAGATACGATTTATTTTGAACAAGCCAAAGGTTCACTTTCAAAATTATACTCCATGGCGTACATTCTGGCAGGACACAACTGCCACAGGGACCTTACCTAACAAATGAAAACACTGTAACCTAATTGGTTTGTAACCTCATAATAATCTGAAATTTTTTTTAAATAAAATACACAAAAAAATTATACTTCAAATAAAACTATGACTTAATCCCTATTCCAGGCAAACTTTACTTTTCTATGAAATGGCTCTGTAAGAAAAAATATTTTAAGCTACTTTAAATATGAGATAAATATACTAGTTGAGACATACAAGATAAAAGATATTTAGCACTCTTTGACTTAAAAACAATGGACTTGAGCTGGCTGTTTTATAATTTTATAATCTGAATATCCTAATCTTAGGTAGGCTCTTCCTAAAGCCCAGTAGGGAGAAATGTTCTCTATGACAGTGTCCTCCCTTGATGTTTGGGTGGTTGTCACTGCTTGGGGTTAAAAAGCTGGGGGACGTGCATTCCTTTCCACTCTTACAATTGAATATACATGCCTACAACAAAAGTACTCTACATGACGGCTAAGGTCCAAGTTAGACCATGAAATTTAACCAATTAGTATTGCAACCACTTTCTGCCACACTTTCACACATTGCCAAATAAACCAATGTGATCTCTTTTCATGGAGACCTGAAGCACATTCATCAGAGACCATAAAAAGCACCTTTAATGTGTTCATACAGCATATTACTTTACCACCCAACTTCTACCGGACTTGATCTTGATGAGAAGAATTAAAACTGACCTGCCATTGTGTACACACCAATAGGCAGAAAACTAATTACTTATCTTTTAACTCATCAATATGCCTTGAACTGAAAAAGTTAACAAAGACCATGACACTGCTAAAGGAAAAGGCTTAAATACTAGAAATGTTTCAGTTAAGTTAGAGGTAGAGAGAGTCCACCCTGTACATGTATATCTCAGAAAAAGGTAAGAAAATTTAGGAATTTGTGAAGAAGCAAAGCTGAGAGGGGTGAGATAGCAAACAAAATGTTTGGTAAAGAAACAGACTTATTACTTTTGGCAGTCAACAGATTACACTGTAGGACCACAAATAGTTACTAGATTGCAAAATAGATGTCCAAATACAACTGTAGCAACCACGGTCCAGCCAGGAAACAGTAACAGAGAAAAGATACATTCTTTCTAGTCCTAAAGTTAAAACAAGTAAAAATGATAATGCTTTATAACAAAGAACAGGACGGTAAAGGCAAAGATTATGACTTTCAGAGAGCTACTTAGATACTTCCCCTGCTTCATTACTATGAATATCAAAAATAAAAACCATGACATAATGAGTGAAATGAACAAAATTAAAGCTAAAAGTTGTGTCAGAAAGACATCATAATTTTTGAGCATGGGATTGTTGAAAATTCAATTGCTTTGCAGACCCATAGGAAGATCCTCTGTTAAAAATGGGATTCCTGAACTCTGGGAGGCGGAGGTGGGTGGATTGTCTGATGAGTTCACAGGTTCAAGACCAACCTGAGCAAGAGCAAGACCCCCACCTCTAAAAATAGCTGGGTGTTGGGGCAGGCGCCTGTAGTCCCACCTACTCAGGAGGCTGAGGCAAGAGAATCACTTGAGCCCAAGAATTTGAGGTTGCTGTGAGCTATGACACAACAGCACTCTACTGAGGGTGACAAAGTAAGACTCTGTCTTTAAAAGAGAGAGAGATTCCTCTTTTACAGAGCCCATGAGCAGCCCATTCAACTTTTGAAAACTAAAACTTTAAATTCCTAAATACATAGGAACTACTCATGTGAAAGAGGAAAAATATTTCAAAAATTCCAGATTGTATCATTATGAATTAAAAATTGTACCTACTACTTATAAAGCCAAAAAGAATACTGGTAATAAAGATCTCACAAAAGGAGCCACAACAGAAATATATAAACAATAAGACAAAGAATACATTTTTTCAATACAATTCAGTCTTCTTCTGTGAAGTAAGAATTTTGAAAACTATAAACCTCATTCAAAAGTGAAATCACAATCTTGTAATTCTTTTCAAAGTTTCACACCAAACACTTAGATAAAACAATGGCAATCTTTAAGCTGAGACAAATCTCTATACCTCCCTAGTTTTAAAATAAGAGAATGAAAAATGAAAAGAGGAAAAAAACACACAGAAGAAGAGATCTGGGAGGTAAACTAAGGGGATTAACCTCAAGCAGAAGTGTCACAGCCATCAGACTATCTGCATAACCTTTCTCCCTCCCCTCACGGATGCTATGACTCCAGTTATACAAGTCTGCCTGATTTGGGCAAGTCACTGCTTACTCTTCACTATTCTGGTTTTTTTTGGAAAGGCTTATACACAGAATTATCTTTTTACATGTATAATATAAACAATAAAAACTACTATATTTTGTGTTATTTATATTTAAGCAAAAGCCATCTATAAGTATGAAGAATTACAAAACATAAAAAAGAGCTGACATCTTAAGACTTCATTACTCCATGCTTTACAAAGATAAAGGCAAAACTTTTAGTCCTACCTCTAGAAGCTTCAGGAATGGCTCCTAATTAATCAACTCACAAATGGAGTCACACAGAAAACTTCTACTTATCTGAAAAGTTTACACCACTAAACGGGAAGATAACCCAAGTGACTTCAACTCTGGAACTTAATTTTCTTCCTACTGTAAGGTGGGGAAAAGGAACCCTACAGCTGAATATAGGAAACGATAAATCTGACTTTCAAAGGAAATAAGAAACCTACATTAAGTATCTAACAATAAAGATTTAAGGATACTTCCAAGCCCTTAAATTCTGGTTCAGCCCCAAAGGAGATAACATTGTTTAAAAGCAGACATTTTGGTAGAAAGGTCTGATATTTAACAATGTGTTTAGTTTCAAACCCCAATTCAACTTCTTGAAACTTTCTAGTTTGATTTCAGTAGTATCGTAAAAAATATTTTTCATTTCCACTGAGAAAGTGCAAGGCTTCAATAACAAAAATATTTGTTTTCGCTTCTAATCACTGTCTAATTTCCAGGCTATAAGCAAACTCCACCTTCAGCTAACTCCTGCAAGCAACTCTGGAAAACATGTTTCTATTAATTATATTCAACTAAAAACTAATGTTGTGGGGATTAAATAAGCCCAAGCATGTGAGGTATCTAGCCTAGCACCTGAAACATATTAAGAAGCCAGTAAATGTTGGGCACGGCACACATGCAACATGCTTCTCCCTCAGGCAACTCCAGTTACAATTTAAATGGTAACATCTGATTAATCAAATTGTGTTTTGCCATTTTTTTAGTCAATAGGATTCCTAGAGGGGTACACTTCTACCTTCTGGCACTCTCTGCCCAAGGTACAGAGAGTTGCATCATCCAATCCTGGGGGAATTACTAAAGCCAGAATTACAAGTCAAAGCCTGGCGGCAGTTACCCCAAGTAACACTACCCCCACTGTGCCTACATGTCACACACAAAGCTAGAAGCCCAGGTGCTAGGATCATCTAAACAACACGGAGCTAACCTCCTACCCCACCCTTTCAAGCATCCACGCTGTTCTCTCCCGCTATTTTCACCCAAAAATGGGGGGGGGGGGGCAGTTTCTACTTGACAGCTCTTGAATTGGCTGCCAAGAAAACCTCAGATCTAGATGGAATTAGTTCTGAGGAGCCTGACCCTGTGTGAACCCTCCTCAGAGCCGAGCACACAAATGAACAGCCAAAGGGGGCACCCAGCAAAAAACCACACTCAACACACATAGCACCTGCTACGTGCCAGGCGCTGTTCAGACGCTGTCACTCGCCGAAAACCTCATGACAACACACGAGGTAGGTACTCGTATTGCCCCCATTTAGAGATAAGAAAATTGGGTTTGGGAACATTCAAACAAACAAAAAAAAAAAAAAAAAAAACAAGGGCCCAAGGTCACAGGGCTTACTAAATGGAGGTGTATGAGCCGAGCCGCTCAGTCTCTGGATTCCAGGCTTTTTTACTACCGCGTAGCACAAGGCCGCTCCGGCAATCAAAATTACGTTATGAGGTTTTGAAACGGGTAGGGTCAATTGGGACTCGAAGGAGCCCAAGTTCCCCTTTCCATGTCGTCCAAGCAAACTGGCACTTCTTGAGCACCCCTACTCGCCTGGCGCTGAGTGGGGACTGAGATGGGGTGGCGGGGGTGTCCGCGTGGACCTTAGAGAGATCCTCTTAGGGAAATCTACCTCCTCCCAAGTGGGCACTAGTGAACCAGGAGGCCGCTCCACACCGCTTCCCCCGCAGCCCGCAACGGAATAGATGGTGTGGAGGCAACAGAAAGGCCCTCAGCTCCCCTCGCACCCTGCCCCCCGCGCTAGGCCCCAGGCGGCGTCCAGCAGCGCGCTCGGAGGCCCGGGCCCCCCCTCCCTTGCCCTTCTTCAGCCCCGCCTCGGTCCCGTTTGTGCCCCACCCCGGGCTGCCTCACTGGCTTCTGTGCAGCTCCGGACAACACGCGGGAGACAGCAGCGAGCATCTTCCTCATGGGGTGCAGGCAATGGCACCAGCAGCGACTCTCAACCGCCCACAACGCACTGTGCGCCCGGGGGTCCCAAAGTCTCCCGAAGTCTCCTTCAGGTGTCCGGAGCAATTGCCACGCCTTAGTCGCAGGGCGACGTGATGGAGTCGTGGAAACGTCATGCGCAGCGCCCGGCCGTGGGCCAACGAGAACGGCTCCCAGAAGATGTCCCGGCCCCTTGAAAGATTTGTGGCTTCCCATTGGGTATGGACGCCAGAGAGGGCGGGGCTGCGGGTTGGTTCTGTAACCACGCGGCGGGCCGGTGAGGAGGAGGAGACCGGAGGGCGCCTGCGTGAGAAAGTGCAGCTCCGCCTCCTTGGCGCCGCGGGAAAGGGGCTTGCTCCTTGGATTCTGTCCCGCAGGCTCTCCGAGAAGTGGTGCCACCGATCTTCCTGTGTGCCTAGTCCTGCCGGTGCTGCAACTTTGGAGACTTCGATCAATACACGAGATGATGAACATTAGCTGCACGGTGAGAGCCAAAAGACAAAGCATCTGGTTTCTATAAGTGGTTCTGCCTCTAACTTGTCTTTAAAATTCACCTAACAGTTGTAAAATGCTGCTGCATCTGTTTAAGCAGAGATCCAAAAATCGGCTCCCTGTCTGTCTGCACCTCTGTTTCTTGTCATTTCCACTCTGGAACCCAGACTGAGGGAGCAGCCTCTATCTGGAAACTAGCTTGTCTCGTGGTGAAGGGAAAAGAGATAATTTAAACTGGCTCTCAAAGCTTCTGGCCCAAAATGGGCACATGTCACTTCTCAGTTTCCATAGACTAGAGCTAGTTACCCAACCATGTCGGAGTTCAGCGTGCTGATCCTCCTGCCAGGCCAGAGACTGGAAAATTGGATGAATGGTAAATGCACAGAATATTTCATATGTCTTCACACATTTGCAGTCCTGTCATATTCCAGAAGGAAAAGCTATTGTGTGTGTGTGTGTGAATAAAATCATTTCAGTTCAGCATAACACTGACTTTTCTAACAATGAGAATTGTCCAGTGAGAATTCTTTGTCAGTGTCACCAAAAGTATTTGTAGCAGAAGTTCCAAGCATGACCAGCTGTCAGAAGAGCTAGAGAAAGGATCTGGACACTAGGCAGGACCCTGGCCTGGAAGACCTTGTTGAATCTATCTGCCTCTATGGCCAAGTTGCAGTGAGAACTCCCTTCTTAACAACTCCTTTCTTAAAGGAGGGAGAGAAATTTTTAAAAACAAACAAAAGGAGTGAAAAGGGCCATTAAACAGCAGGGATGGAAGTGAGACCCCTTGCACATATGATTTCAGCAGATGCTGCTGCTGATTTTATGTGGAAGGTAAAGAAAACAGAATGAAAAGGGTTAGAGACTAGATGTCTAGGTTATGAGAAGAAGTTGGTCTGGATGCTTTGGGACATGCTGACCTGCTGGTAGAACTACTATTCAAAGATGTCCCCCCAGGAAGTTGGAGTTATAAGTCTGAAACATATGTAAAAATTGTGTATGCCCAGGAGCTCTGTGGGCCATATGGATATAAAGTCATTCATTCAACACCAATTTATTAAGTACTGGTTATATGTCAGGCTAGACATGGGAGTATAGCAAGGAACAAGTAAAATATAGACCCTACTCTCACAGACCTTCCAGTCCCTCACCACCATCACTTGATAGTTTAGGATTTAGTCTAAATCCTCTGGGTGAAGCAGAGGATTTAGATGAGACGTCCTGAAATTTACCTCTTGACCTTAACTTTGAGAATTACTCTAAAAGTACTCAATCAAGTTGAACTGTAAGGCAGATCTGATCCTTAACATGTCTTTGGTTTTCTCCCGGAACCACCTCCCAGAGGATAAATTAGAATAGGACAATCATACGCGTAAGTCATAAAAGTCAACAAAAATTTGTGAATGTTTGTGTTGTGCTAGGTACCAGCTGGTAGACGCATTATGCCTAGGGGCCATTTTGACTTTGGAACCATATAAATATTTTACATAACCATAATATATGGTAAAGTAAAGAGAGAGATGAAATGTAACAAACCAGTTTAGTCACATATCAAGTTGTCGGCACAACCCCACAGGGAATGACCTCAAGTTACTACCACAGCAATAGGAAAGGGAGGAGGGAGAAGGAGAGAGAAATATAAAATACAAAAATTTAGGCTCAGCGCCTGTAGCACAGTGGTTATGGCACCAGCCACATACACCGAGAGTGTGCGGGTTCAAACCTGAACCAGGCCAGCTAAACAACAATGACAACTGCAACAAAAAATAGCCAGAAGTTGTGGCGGGCACCTGTAGTCCCAGCTACTTGGGAGACTGAGGCAAGACAATTGCTTAAGCCAAAGAGTTTGAGGTTGCTGTGAGCTGTGATGACATAGTGAGACTCTGTCTCAATAAAAAAATAAAACACAAAAATTTAAAGCCTAGTGGTCCTAAATTGGAACTGGAAATATCAGTATAATTTCACAGTTATTTTCCCCTCCAGAAATATGTATCTTCTTATTCTTTCCACTGGAAAGACCTAGAAGTGAAGACCAGCCTGATAATAATTATTCTGAAAACTGATGAACAGAAGGAACTAAGGATTTATCCTTGTCTTTTTCGTATAGACTGAATTTCAATGTCTACAAATTGTAGATGAAGGACAGTTCTTTACTGAACAGTTTCCACTAATAAATACAAAAGGAATCATATAATTTTAACATCCCTGTCTTGCAGCCCCTAAGGAATTAATGGACTTAGCTGTTCTCTATATGGAGTCACATAGAGAACGTCTGTGTCAACTAGCAGCTCTGCACCTTGGACCCCATAGGAGATGAAGCACTCTCTCCCCTGCAAAATGTTCTTGCCTCCAAATCAAACTGGAATCCTGCCAAGCCTTTATGTTTCCCACCAGCTTACAGGTAGGTAATCTTTAAAATTAAAAATGGGGGGAAACATTTCAGAACAGATGACCTAGCATCTTTAACAAATAGCAAGATTAAGAGGGAAAAAGAGGAAGGAGAATCAACCAAATGAAATGGGTATGTCTTAGATGAATCTTGAATTGAACAAAACAAGTGGGAGGGAAAAAGACATTTGTCAGATAATTTGGGGCAGTTTAAACAATGACTGGATGTTTGATGATATTAAAGAATTTTCTAGGTGTGCAAATGGTAGCCAAGTGATTTTAATAATCAGTAATATGGCTGATAGGGAAGGCATTTGTAGGATGTATATATAGAGAGAGAGGTAAGAAGATGGGCCTGGAGTTAATTTTTGTTAAAGCACTGTGATATCTATGAAGAAGTTCACAGTAGTCTTCTCTCTACTTTTGCGTCCATTTGAAACTTTATTCAAAAAGCAGTCTGGGCTCGGCGCCTGTGGCTCAAGTGGCTAAGGCACCAGCCACATACACCTAAGCTGGCAGGCTCCAATCCAGCCCGGGCCCGCCAAACAATGATGGCTGCAACCAAAAAAATAGCCAGGCGTTGTGGCGGGAGCCTGTGGTCCCAGCTGCTTGGGAGGCGGAGGCAGGAGACTTGCTTGAGCCTAGGAGTTGGAGGTTGCTGTGAGCTGTGAGGCCACAGCACTCTACCCAGGGTGACAGCTTAAGGCTCTGTCTCAAAAAAAAAAAAAAAAAAAGCAGTCTGGATGCGAGACATCAGGGATAAAATATCAAACATTGGACTACTTCTTTTTACATTCCAATTTCTTGGCATTTGCTACACACAGCACATAAAAGCTGCTGGGGGACTTGCTTGGCAGGCAATTGCAAACATTTATTAACTTTCATTCATTCGTTACATGATATATATAGAACACCTGGTAGGAGCCAGGCTCTGGAGTTATAGGTGTCAGTGGCATAATAGACATGGTCTCTATGCTGTCCTGGAGCCTGTGGTCTGGCAAGTGGGGGGAGGGAGTGACAGAGATTTAGCTGATGACATATGGAATTAACCACACTGTTAACACATTTCAGTTGTGAGGAGTATAAGGGAAGGGGGCTGGGGTGATGGTAACACCAGCTGCTGTAACAAAATGCCTGAGACTGAGTAATTTACAAACAACAGACATTTATTTCTTACATTTCTGGTGGCTGAGAAGTCCAAGATCTAGGCATTGGCATTCAGTGCCTGGCGAGAGCCCTCTTGCTGCGCCTTCACATGGAGGAAGGAAAGGCAGAGAAGGGCCTAGGAGCCCCCTCTATCCTCTTTCATGAAGGTGCCATCCCCATTCACGAGGGCTCTGTCCTCATGACCTCATCACCTCCCAAAGGCCTCACCTCATAATACCATCAACTTGGGAGTTGCAACATGTGAATTTTGAGGGGCACATTCAGACCACAGCACTGAGGAAGAGACCTTTTAGATGGGATCTGAGAGCTGAGTAGCACTGGCTGAACAAAGGCAGTGGCAGGAGGAGGGAACGTGTGAGCCACAGCCCAAGGCACAGGACAAGGAAGATGTTCTTGAGAAATGGAGACAAGGTTGCCAGGAGATCAGCCTGGTCCTGTTAGACCTCATCAGGATTTAGACATTTTTCCTAAGAACAGTGGGAAGCCAAACAAGGATTTTAAAATTTCCTTTGCATTTTGTAAATATGGAAGAGGAACTGTACCCTTTCTTGATGGGCCCCCCAAGGAAATGAACAAGAAGAGGCCCCAGTGTCTTTTCAGGAAAGCACAGAGGTCCTGGATCCATATGTGGAAACAACAGTGGATATGCTCATTTCGATTAGCCAATGTGGAAATGTGGGAAAAATGGGTTCTGAACACTTGCCTATTGAAATCTGGGTATGCTCAAGCCAGAGAGAATACAAGCATGAAATGCTAGGGTCGGTCGCTATATCTGCATTTCAGACATGGCACCACCTGTGACTGATTCTGTGTGCCCTGCCAAGAGCGAGGTTACAACCTTTCCTTCCATCCGTGGGTTGCATCACCCTGGCTGGTGTTCAGTCAGAGCACTGATTGCATCATATCACAGTCCTTCTAAGTCTGGCCCCACTTTCTCATCACGCAGCCCACAGCTGAAGAGTCTGCCCTGAAGTCACTATCAATCATTTTCTGTAGCTGACAGAAGCAGCCTGTGGAAACCTAAGAGCAAGCCTACAGAGAGGCAATCTAGCATCTGAACTCTGGAACCAATCTGCCTGGTCTCAAATCCTGGCTCAGCCACAAGCTGTGTGACCTTGGGCAGGTTGCCTAAGCTCTCTGTGCTTCTGTGTTCTCATCTTTAAACTCAGCACAATAATAACAGTTATCTCATAGGACTGTTATGAAGATTGGATGGAGTAATATTTGCCTGATCCTTGACTGTAAACACATACGCTAATCTTTTAACCTGTTGGTGCCTTGGCTCCTTATTAGTAAAGCAAAGTTTAGAAACTATCTTCCAGACTGGGCACAGTGGCTCATGCCTGTAATCCCAGTACTCTGGGAGACTCAAGTGAGTGGATTGCTTGAGTTCAGGAGTTCGAGACCAGCCTGAGCAAAAGCAAGACCCCATCTCTAAAAAACCAGCCAGGCATTGTGGCAGACACCTGTAGTCTCAGCTACTTGGGAGGCTGAGGCAAGAGGATCACTTGAGCCCAAGAGTTTGAGGTTGCTGTGAGCTATGACACCACAATACTCTGCCTCGGGGACAGAGTGAGACTCTATCTAAAAGAGAGAAAGAAAGAAAAAAAGAAACTTCTATCTTCCAGGTACACTTTGAGAATCAATCAGTCAGGCACTTGGTAGATTTAAGGGCTAACTGCTATCGTTTTGGGAACACTGACAAGTTCTACCAAATAAAGAACAGCACATGACACTGGTAATACACAAGCAGGCCGAACAAAAGGCAGATTGTGTTCAGTGGAATATGCAGAGAGGTAGAGGTGCTTGGTGGCCTTTGCAGCAGTGGCTACAGCTCAAAGGTGCTACTGGGCCAAGTTCCCTGCTCGTAGCATTGCACTGGGCCCGGCTGATGCAGAACTGACTTAACCATCAGTAAATCTTGTCAATAGTCCAGAAACTAAACTTGAAGTTTACCCAACACGATGTACTATGAAATATAGGAAACAGTGACTGACTTTACCAAATAGCCATGATAAGAACTTTTGTTTTTGCAGTTTTTGGCCGGGGCTGGGTTTGAACCTGCCACCAATAAGACCTTTTTAATAAATATTTTTCTCATCTTGTAACTTGGATTCTTCTCATTATCAAAGAAACATGTTCATGTATTATAGAAATATAGAAACTAAAGATAAGTCCAAAATAAATGAAAATACTCTATAATCATATAGCCCACATAGCCACTGTTAATAAGGCACCTTCCAGCCTTTTCCAACACATTTATACATTTTTTAAAAATTAAATAGATATTAGAAGGTACCCAGTGTTCCAAAATAGGTGATTAAATATTTTTTAAGAATCTGATTTTTACCTCCTAATATTTTATGTAGGACCCAATCCCTTATCACTAGACAACCAGATGATTGTTTATTTTCACACTTATATGAGGTCTGACAAGTTTGCACACTCATCCCTCATCCTGAGGTATGTTAAGTGTCACATGCCTCACTGATGAATATCACTATAGTTGCCTTTGAGGAACTCCCCTTGGGAAGCTATACACTGATGCCAGCGCCTAGTCTACTCTTCGAAACAGTTATGCAACTGTTTTTCTGGAATGGCCACCAAAGCTGTTACTGTGTCACCCCCTGATGGCCTAATGCCATAAAAATGTCTTCCTTTCAATATTTCCTTTATCTTCAGGTAAAGAAAAAAGTCACTGGGGGCCAGATCAGCAGGGAAAGTCTTCTAATACAGTTATTTGATTATTGGCTGAAAACTCCCTCACAGACAGGGCCATGTAACCTGGTGCATTGTCGTGATGCAAGAGCCATGAGTTGTTGACCAGGATTTTCAGTTAAGATTTTTCTGTTTCTCTATCAATGTTTACTTGGTCTGTTATGATTCTCACAGGCAGCCAATGATTTTAACACACAATTCAACTAATTTTTGCAATTTTTGTCAGTTGTGCTCATTACTAGCCACCCTGACCTCTCTTGATCAGTGAGACTTTTTCTTCCCTACTAAAAACATTTAGTCCATTTGTATACCGCCATTTTCTTCAGGGCATTATCCCCATAAACTTGGACTACCATGTCCCTGATTTCACTTGCCAAGTTTAACAAGAAATTGTATGTTTATTGCTCTAATTCAAGCTCTGACATTCTTGTGATATCACACAATACCACACAGCAATAATGAATGCCACCCAGTAAGACACCATCACACATCAACACAAACACAGCTGTGAGACACTGATATACCAAGGTTATAGAACCTTAGCGAGTTGTTTGTACAGTGCTGCCCACCTAAGCACACAGTGGCAAGTTCATAAACTTAATTGGCAGACTTGTAAATTATCACCAAAGCAGGCTACCTCCAGTTACCTTGAACTCAACATATCATTATAATACTTCAAATCACTCCCACAAGTGAGAATCCCCCAATTTTCAGTAGTGCAGCGTGTGAAGAAGTGTGTACATAAATTGAGTCTGCACATCTAAAATGCCTCCCTGTCCATGCTTACACACCTCTTCATCCTGTGTCCAACTCTGTTAACCTCTCACACCTCCCTTTGTTCAGGGTGAAGGATCCTTTAGAGCAGCCGTCCTCAAACTATGGCCCATGGGCAGCCCGCTGAGGACATTTATCCAGCCCGCTGGGTGTTTTTGCTGCAGCTGCCTGTCCTGCTTAGCAGCCAACTCAACCCAGGGCCCGCAGTCCGGCCCTCCAATGGTCTGAGGGACAGTGAACTGGCCCCCTGTTTAAAAAGTTTGAGGACCCTTGCTTTAGAGAATAAACTCTTCCTTCTTCATTCTTTGGCCAAAGAATTAAAAGCCTGAACACCTGACCAATTGGATGCTCTTT